CCAGGAATGATTGTATCATGTCAAATGAGATGGCAGCCATGTTTTGCTCCTTGATTTAATACATTTCTGAGACTACAAGTGTAGATTTACCACCGCAGGTTCAAGAGTAGGACTAATGTTCTGAAGTTGATTTAATGGGACTAATGTTCTGAAAAGCTCCAGCCAGGCAGCTGGGAAAGTTGTGGTTGACTGCCTGTTCTGGTCTTAGGACCCTGGAAAACAAACATTTAATGAACAGGAAATGATATTAACATCGCTGGAAGGTTTTATTTCTCTGGATGAGTTATAATTCCTGTCATACTTGAGCCTTCATATATTCAATTAACTCCCGCACTACTATCCATACTACAAAAAAAAAGGGGGGGAGGGTAAAATCTTGCTATTTTCTCTGCCATTATCCTGCTAACTAAAGGAATGGCCTAAGTTATTCACTTTTGATTTTTAGCAAAAAAGGAAACAAGAACAGTTATGGGAAATGACTAACTGGCTCCAAGTATGCTGAATCTCAGCCTTGGAAGGGCTAATTATTGGGTCTTTTCCACAGTATGGGCAACTGTGCTACAGTGGGTGAATTTTCATATTATCATTTTGTTCACCCCCCACAAAGATGATTTACAACCAAAATATTTTATCCAGAGAAAGAAATCAATCAGGACATGAACCAGGAAAATCTCACTTCTGCCGGAAATCTCCTAAATTCTCTGATAAAAAGACTTTTGCTTTATGATCACCACAGTAACTTCTAAGAAGAATGGTTTCCAAGTTAAACAAGTGTCTATTCAAAGACTTTTTAGATATGTATTGTGTATCTCCAAAAAGAAGATAGCATTATTTGTGCATTGTATATAGTTTGTGCTTTGCAAAACATACATTGGTAAAATTAACTCTAGTTATAATTTGAGAGCATCAAAACATATTTTGGTCTGGTCTAAAACATTTTTTATTATGTGGGCTGGAAATCAAAGTGAAAACACTTTTGTAATTTCAAAAAACTCTCATGTTTGTTAAAGCAATGAAACTTTGTCCTGCATTATAAAGAGAAATAGACAAATGACTTATAAAATTCATTCTTTAAAAAAAAAATCTTTTAAATGTATGTATTTATTTATTAAGGTCACCCCCCCCAAAGAGCAAGTGTGCTTATTAGAGAAAGAGAGATGGAGATGGTGAGAGGGAAAATAAGAAATCATCTCCCAGAGGGATGGCTATGCTACAATCCCTTCTCTTCCATTCTCCTCCTGGGATTCTGGGTTTGCATACACAGATGCCCAGAGCAATTTTTAAGCTTCCGAGTCTAGAACTCAAACTGTGGTCAGCCGTGTGGGAGTCTAGTGCCTTAAACATCATGTCACCTGAATTCCTAAGCACTGGGACTGTGATGAACTGTTTTTCAAGGTTCACTCTGAAGGGCCATATTTCCAGGAATAATGTTGACATTGCCCATCTTAAATAATCCTTACATCTTACTGTTCCAATTTATTATTTATCATTTGTAAGGGAAGAGAGAAGGTAGCTGTTAATGAAAATAGCTAAGTTATGAGTGACATTATAAAATAACATAATGACTAAGAAAAACACTGAATACTCGATTATTATTTCCAACAGGGCTAATATCAACATGACTTTGTGTCATTTTCACTCGCCAAAAAGGTGACTCCACTGTCCAGTAAACTAAAAAAACGGTGCTAGAAAAGTTAATGCAGGTCTCGTTATAGAAGTGTTTTAATAAATAATAACAGAAAGTTATTAAGCACTATATTGTCAAGTGTACTTCGAAACACTTTTCATGCATTTATCCCATGTTATTCTTAGAACCACCTGAGGAGATAGATACTACAGAGATGTTTTATAAATGAGAACATTGAGGCACAAGTGAGTTCCCCAATAGGCCCCACTTTATGCAGTTAGCTAGTGACAGAGCCCCTTTCCACAGCCAGGTGGTCTGACCCCAGAACCCAAGCATCCCCCTTGTACTCACGGGAAATGGGGACAGATCTTGTGTGCAATCTTTTAAAATTATTTTTCATGAATAAGACAGTAGGCAATGCTTTGTTTTCTTTCCTTCATTTACAACAACATATCTTCTTTCAGGAGTACCAAAATCGGTAATACCCAGAGCACAGATGAAGAACAAATAATTTTTCAAAAATCAGTATATATGTTATCTCTAACTTCTACAAAGTTAGAATGACTTTATAAAAATGTATTCTGCTGTGAATGTTTATGTTCAATAGACATCAATTATATTTGTTCATTAATCTTTGCTCAGGACTGAAAGTCAATATTTAATCATTTTAATTTGGAAAAGTTAAAGAACATGTTATCTTTATAAGATTTTCTGCATTCATACCAACCAAAATTGACTGAAATCAACATAATTTGGAACATCTAAGGGGAGTGGGATGGTGGAGCAACAGCGAAGCTCAGTGCTCTGTGAGGCTGACACATGTGGGAAGGTTCTGGGTTGGCATCTGGAGATCTCTCTGAGTGTAGTGGGCATGTGTGTTTCCATGATCCATGGCTGACTGAGGCTGGGAGAGATAACAGCATCATGACTCTGTGGAGAGTACTGCATCTCTCTCTCTCTCTCTCTCTCTCTCTCGCTCCCTCTCTCTCTCAAGAAATAAACAATGAACTTACAGAAGAAATAAAGTGAAGAAACCTTTCATATTTCATCAACTATGCTTGTCGTAGAGATTATTTTTTTAAAGTAACAGTAGGAAAAACACTGACAGAAATAGGTAAAAGTACCTGTCCAAAACTCACTAGGTTTGTGACCCCTGGCATATTACTTGACTTCCCTGAATCTCAGATTCCTCAGATGTGAAGGAGAGGGGAAAATCTGAACCACAGAATTGTATGAAGGTTAAATGAGATGATAAAGAAAAAGAATTCATCACAGTCCTGGTGCTTAGGAATTCAGCAAAAATTCTCTTCCCTTTCCATTTTCCAATTTCTAACAACCTTCAGAAACATGACCTAAAATTGTCTGAATTTACTTATTACCTCCTCTTTGTGAAAACAGTACCAATGTAGTTTAAATTAAAAATTATACATACAGAGCTTTAATTAATCACAAATATTGGGCTCTCAGAAAAGTCAAGACATATTTTGTGTTCCTATGCAAAAATATGTCATAACTTTTCCAACAACCCAATAGTAACCCTATTGCATTTACTCGGAGAAACAATCTGTAATTCTTTTTTCAGTATTCAAACATATACAGTATATATTTATTTTAGGTAATATTGTTCAAGAAAACTCCTAGTTTTCCACCCAAATGCATGGACCTCCTGATGCACTGTATATTCATTTCATCACACAGTCAGTTGATGTTAAAAATCTGTTTTGGTGGGACCAGCAGATGGCATAATAGTCATGTCACTGGACTCCCACACAGTTGACTAAGGTTTGAGTCTCAGACCCAGAGGCTTGAAATACGCTGGGCACTATTGCATATGTGCCCAAAATCCTGAGAGGAGAATGGAGGAGAAAGAATTGAGGTGTGACCATCCCCCAAGGTGGTGATTTCTTGCTTTCAGTCTCTCTGTCTGTCTGGTAAGTGCGCATACCCTATAGCAAAAAAATCTCTAAAAAAAAATCTGTTTTGGTAACTGTCACAAAATATTGTTATCCCTTAGAAAGCTAGGTAGTACTTTGGGTACTATTGCACAATGGTTTTCATTACCTTATGTGTCTCTAAATGACTCAATAAGTTCAAACAAGACAGTATTGATCGACAGAGGATAAACATCATTTTATCTCATTCATGGAAACAGTAACCAGGCTCCTCTAAAGTATGGTTCAAACAGTCCAAACTCCCCCCAGAAAAGCATCTGGAAAAGGAACAGCACCTTTGCAGTGACGTTCTATACTAGAGGTCTAAATCCCATCTGTTCATGCTTGATACTCTAAAATCCAGGCATTGTTAACAAGTAATAGCATTAACTTAAATTTGGATCAGAAAAGTTATCATCATTTTATTCCAGAAAACCTATTCCGGCTTATCAGCTTTAAAAACTAATTTGAAATTTTAATTTAGAAAGCCAAAATTTTGCACTGAGCATTTTTATTGATGCAAATCAAAAAGTAAAATATTTCCTTCTGTGAAAATGATTGCCTTGACTAACATATGGTGGTAAACTCACTTCTCGAATTTGACTACTATGTAAGCTAAAAGGCTATATAAGCAAGAAGGTTTTTTTTTTCCTATAGAGATAATAGGTGGCATTTTTTGTGTATAAGTAGCAACAATCATATGGAGAACATTTTCTCGATTTGCTTATCCCAGGGATTTGCCCCGGTAATATTGAGACAAGTATTATAGTAATAAAGATATACAATAACTCCCTCTGCTTTTCATGGTTATGTACAGTGATCCGTTTCAATCAAGGAGATGACTAAATTAGCACTCAACAATTTGTCTAGGCAGAATGTTGAAGGAAGAAAATTGTTCTGTAATTCCATAAAACCTTACTTTCAATGGTGCAGCCATGTCTTCTTTTCCTCCATCAGTTAAAAAAGAATAATTGTTTTGGGAAACCCAATTGATGGAAAGAATACAAGATTTAAGTATCAAAATTAACTACTATGGTGCTTTATTTCCACAGAACATTCTGGTTTATAAAAGCATCTCATATAGAAGAATTTATATGGATATTTAATGCCATATTTTTTTCAGAATCAATTTATTATGCCTGTTTGCTCAAGCTAATAGAGTTATTATTCATCTTTTAATGGTACAAAGCTAGTTAATTGAAAGATGCTCTCACCTAGCGTTTATAAGTCCAACTCTATTTAC